CAGCTGGGACTTCCTGCCCCAGGAAGCTGGCAGCCCCGTGGCCCCTTGGAGGCCCCAGTCGCTGCTCCAGTCCCTGCAGTCCCCTCCACTGAGGGACGGTGTCTGCCCTCCCCAGCAGGTGCGGCCCCTGCCCCAACCCCTCAGGCAGCACCTAGAGGCTCAGTCCCCTGCTTGGTCCCCACACTCCCCCAAGACCCCACCGGGTCACCGGTCACCAGTTCTCCCGTCCTCTCGCCTAGTTCCCCTCCCCTCATACAACACACCAACTTCTTTCCTCCAAAGTGTTCAAGAAATCATTCCTAAGCAGAGCAGAGTGGCGAGAGTGGGTGTGACTTCACCCACAGAACGCATTTCCTTGCTCCGCAGGAAGAGTGGGCCTCAGGAGGCCCAGCAAGGGGAAACCAACCCTCGAGGGGCTGCTTCTAAGGCCCCGAGTCGCCAGGTGGAAGGCTGGGACCCGGAGCTGGGCCTGGCCTGCTCCCTCGCAGGGGCTGCTGAGCTGAGCAGATGTGCCCGTGGTTCTCTGCTGGGCACTCACCATGCTCCGGGGCCTTCCTCGGCCTCAAGCTCTCTGGCTGCAAGGTGGCCTTATCATTCCTGCCCTAGTCGCACTCCCACTCCCCATGTGCCCTAAACTGTCTCAGAGGAATCTGAGCCCGCAAGAAAGGATTGTTGAAGAGGTGATGAGCAGGGCAGACAGAGAAGAAAGAAAAACAGGAAGGCATAGGGGGCTGGCAAGCAGGACACAGCCTGCATTGGAATCCTGGCACCGCCTCTGTCTCCCTGGATAAACTTGGTCACTTCCTTAAGCCACTCTGAACCTCACTTTCCACATCTGTAACATGGGAATAATAATATCATAGTGAGTATTCAATGAGATTATATACAAAGTGCTTAGACCAGGATCTGACCTATAGAAAATGCTTGAAAAGTGTCAGCTCTCCATGTTGTTAAAAAGCCAAGGCATGGGGACTTCCCTGGTGGTCCAGCGGGTAAGTCTCCACGCTCCCAATGGAGGGGGCCTGGGTTCAATTCCTGGTTGGGGAACTAGATCCTGCATGCATGCCACAACTAAGAGTTGCATGCGGCAACTAAGAAGCCTGCGTGCCACAACTAAGAAGCCCGCATGCTACAACTAAAAGTCCTGCATGCTGCAACAAAGATCCCGCGTGCTGCAGCTAAGACACGGCACAGCCTAAATAAATAAAAATAAATCTTTAAAAAAAGAAAAAAAAGCTGAGACATTTATATCATTCTTTAAGATTCCATACAATACATAAATAGACTCGTAGACATAGAAAACAAACTTATGGTTACCAAAGGGGAAAGGATGGGAGAGGGAGGGATAACTTAGGAATTTGGGATGAACAGATACACACTACTATATATAAAATAGATAAACAACAAGGACCTACTATATAGCACAGGGAACTATATTCAATATCTTGTGATAACCTATAATGGAAAAGAATCTAAAAGAATACATATATATATACACACAAGAATACATATATATATATATATATATATATACACATCACTGAGTCACTTTGCTGTACACCTGAAACTAACACAACATTGTAAATCAACTATACTTCAATTAAAAAAAAAAAAGCCAAGGCATTGTTGAAGGACACAGGGAATCATCCTAACCTTGAAGGGCCTGCGCTGGTCCCTGGGGTAAGAGATCCCTGCCGTGACTGGCCAGGCGGCCCTGGCAGAGCCCATGCCAAGCTTGAGGACGAGGACCCAGGCTTCGGGTGGACAAGAGAGCTGCGGGAAGCTCCCAGTGGTGGCAGACAGGCCTTTCTACCCAATTCCAGGACAGACACTTCCAGGTAAACACGCCAACTGTCTACCACCAGGGCTTCATTTCATCCACGGATCAAGATGTGGAACAGGCTGGAGTCTGTGGCACTCCAAGAAGGCCTCCCACGGACGATCACTCACAGTCTAGCCAGACTCAGCAACTTCTCATCTCCCTGACCCCCGAAAGTCTCAAGACGCCTCACTAAGGAAATGGCTTCCTGGAGTAGAAGGCAGTGATCGCAAGAAACCAGCTCGGGTTCACAGGGAACAAGGCATTCCAGGCACAAGGGAAGAGCTCACTGGGGCAGGAATAGACATATTTTGCATTTGCACGGATCCAGAGCATTGTGGGTGCTCAGTAGACATGAGTTAAATTGAACCTGGGAGCTGTCTCCCACATTTGTCTGCTCTGTTCAACTTTTGGTCAAAGGGCTTGAATGAAGACACACCCGGTCATGAATGGCCACCTGAAAGGTTGTAACTTTTAAACATAAAACCAAGCAGATGAAAATGAACACGATTCACACTGTCAGGCTGCATTTAAGTTTTTCTGTTGCCACCACTTTGTTCTATGTGTGCCGGCGTGGCTCTAGCTTAATGGTTGTTTATGCAAAAATGGCCTCATGGTTTCCCCTAACCACAAGCACAACAGTGGCAACTCCCGCTGCATCCAAAGGGCGCCCTGTGGTTGCTGAAGGCCTCTGAGGAGGTGAGCGGTGGGGACGTGTTTAGGGCAGGAGGGATTGGGTGGCAGGGAAGAGACAGCCTCTAGCTGAGGCACGGCAGGCAGTGTGAGGCCCAGCTCTGTAAGGGGGAGACAGAGCGGACAGGGAGTGGCACAGCACCGACAGCCAGGGAGTAGGGGCGACAGCGAGGGGGCCAGGCTACTTGTGGCTTGGGTGACAGCCCTCTGGCTGCAAATGTGAGGGCTGGCGGGGTCAGAGGACAGGAGGGTCCTGGTAAGGAATAAAACCAAGACCAAACAGGAGTGGACAAGGTTAGAAAGAGGCTAATTCTGGCCCGGGATCAGCATCAACATTTTTAAAGACCCAGACTCTCCACTCAGGAATAGACAGTAAACAAAGGAACGAGATTGTTTTAGAGTGAAAAGTACTGTAAGAAGGAAAACAGTGGCACTATTCACAATAGCCAAGACATGGAAGCAACGTAAATGTCCATCGACAGAGGAATGGATAAGGAAGACATGGTACTGTGCTCACTTCAGCAGCACACGTACTAAAACTGGAACGATACAGAGAAGATTAGCATGGCCCTTGCGCGAGGATGACATGCAAATTCGTGAAGCGTTCCATATTTTTCCAACAAAACATTGTGAAGCAACTATACTCCAATAAAAATTAATTAAGTACTTTACATAATTATTTTTTAAAAGAAAATGCAAAGTATTTCCTAAAAGAAAAAGAAAGTCAAAGTATATGAATGAATCAAAGTATATTTCAAGTTACTGGCATAACTGCATGGAAAAATAAGAAACTGACTTTAAAACTCATGATTTTGACTGTATATCCTTAGTGGGACTTATCCTAAGAAGAGAAAGGGGGCTTCCTTGGTGGCACAGTGGTTGAGAGTCCGCCTGCCGATGCAGGGGACACGGGTTCGTGCCCCGGTCTGGGAAGATCCCACATGCCGCGGAGCGGCTGGGCCCGTGAGCCATGGCCGCTGAGCCTGCACGTCCGGAGCCTGTGCTCCGCAACGGGAGAGGCCACAACCGTGAGAGGCCCGCGTACCGCAAAAAAAAAAAGAAGATATGGTACATATATACAATGGAATGTTAGCCATAAAAAGGAAAAAAAAGAATGCCATTTGCAGCAACATGGATGGACCTAGAGATTATCATACTAAGTGAAGTAAGTCAGACAGAGAAGGACAAATATCATATGATGTCACTTATATGTAGAATCTAAAAAAAAAAAAATGATACAAATGAACTTATTTACAAAACAGAAATAGACTCACAGACATAGAAAACAAACGTATGGTTACCAACAGGGATGGGGGAGGGGGTGGGGATAAACTAGGAGTTTGGGATTAACATATACACACTACTATATATAAAATAAACAACAAGGTCCTGCTGTATAGCACAGGGAACTAAATTCAATATCTTGTAATAATTTATAATGGAAAAGAATCTGAAAAAGAATATATATATATATATGTATAACAATCCCGTTGCTGTACACTTGAAAGTAACACAACATTGTAAATTAACTATACTTCAATTTAAAAGAATTTTTTAGAAAGAAGAAAAACAGCATATGTGATAGAGAGAGAAGGTGGTGGACCTGAAGGAACTAATTTAGGTTGATTCATCAAGGAGACTCGTGGCCAAGATCTGAATGAATGACAAGCAGGAGAGATTGGGCAAGGTTCTGGGGGCACAGGGTCCCAGGCAGGTGAGCAGAGGGTGCAAAGAGCACAAGGAGGAACGGGAACAAGCTTGGCTGCCAGAGGACCGGCAGGGGGGCCAGAGTAGGCAGGGCAGTGTCAGGGAGAAGGGAAGAGACCGGGAAGAGTCCTATGTCACCCAAGGCCTAAGGTCTCAGTGGAGTTTGGATTTTACTCGAGGTGTGATGGGAAAAACTGAAGTCTATGAGTGTGGAGAGAGTGATCTGACCTGCATTTTAAGATCAGTCTGCCGGGGACTTCCCTGGTGGCGCAGTGGTTAAGAATCCACCTGCCAATTCAGGGGACACGGGTTCGAGCCCTGGTCCAGGAAGATCCCACACGCCGCGGAACAACTAAGCCCGTGCTCCACAACTACTGATCCTGCGCTCTAGAGCCCTGCAAGCCACAACTACTGAGCCTGCGCCCCTGGAGCCCATGCTCCGTGACAAGAGAAGCCACAGCAATGCGAAGCCCGTGCACCGCAACGAAGAGTAACCCCCGCTCGCTGCAACTAGAGAAAGCCCACGCGCAGCAATGATGACCCAACGCAGCCAAAAAATAAATAGAAATAGTAATATAATAAATAAATAAAATATCTTTAAAAAATAAAAAAGCTCACTCTGCTGTTGTGTGGGGGCGGATTGCAGGGTGAGAGAGAAGCAGCGAGACTCCTCCGTGGGCCCCTGCAGTCTGACGAGAGATGATGGACCCAGGAGTATGGGAGGTGGAGCCAGCGCAACATGCTGAAGGCTTCCCCTTGTGAGAGCGAGAGAACAGGAGGTCGTGGGGAGGATCCAGACTTTGGACAAATGGCTGGTAGATGGTGGTGATGGTTACGGAGTTGGGAGAGACCAGGGGAGAAATAAGCAGGGGTGGAATCAAAAATTGTTGAGATCCTATGAAACACTTAAAGAGAGATGGCAAGGAGGATGAACGTTCAAGTTTGGAGTCTGCTGGAGAAAAGGCTGCACCTGGGGACATGAGAATACTTGGGCCTTTAAGGTCCACAGGACTCTGCAACCTTGTGGTTGGTCAAAGGTGGCTGCCAAGTCTTTCCTACTCCTCCCTAGACCCCAGGGTGGGTCTAATCCCCTCCTCTGGAATCTGGATCCCCCTTAGTGACACTTCAACTGGTGACTTTTTTTATATGTGTTGGGTCTTTGTTGCTACACGTGGGCTTTCTTCTAGTTGCGGCAAGCAGGAGCTACCCTTCATTGCGGTCCGCGGGCTTATTGTGGTGGCTTCTAGACACGCGGGCTTCAGTAGTTGCAGCACCCAGGGCTTAGAGCACATGAGCTTCAGTAGTTGTGGCACACGGGCTTAGTTGCTCCATGGCATGTGGGATCTTCCCAGAGCAGGGATCGAACTTGTGTCCCCTGCATTGGCAGGCGGATTCTTAACCACTGTGCCACCAGGGAAGTCCTCAACTGGTGACTTCTGAGACCAGATCATGAAAAGCCTGGCAGCTTCCACCCAGGCCTCTTGGAACTCTTGCTCTGATGGAGCCCACTGCCAGGTGGGAAGTCTGACTTCCCATGAGACCTTCATATGGAAAAGGCCCCATGTGGCTGCTCAGAATGACAGTCCCAGCTAGAACCAACCTTCCGGCCATTCCCACCAAGGGGCCAAATACCAGTGAAGCCATGATGGACTCCATAGTCCAGCCCATCCACTGGCTGAACACCACCAAGTAACCTCCATCAACACCACATAGAGCAGAAGAGTCACCCAGCCAAGCCCTGCCCAAATCCCTGACCCACAAAAATCTCAAGATAAAATAAAACGGTTCTTGTTTTAGGCCACTAAGTTTGGGGACAGTTTGTCACAGTCATAGTAATAGAACAGACATCATCCAAGGAGAGAGCAAAAGAGGTCGGCTGGGAAGGAGAAGCCTGCAAGGGAGCCAGAGAAGGAGCCCTGAGGTGGGAGGATCTTCAGGAGGAGGGGCGCCTGTGGGTCCAAGGTCAGAGAAGCTCTAAGGGGCCGGGAGGAAGGGCGAGAGAAGAGCCCATTAGAGTGTATTAGGAAAAGGATGAGAGGAAAGAAGTGGAAGCGGGGACCACAGAAAACTCTTTCAGATTCTTGTGGGAATGGGGAGCAAAGAAACAAGGGAGTATCTGGGAGGGGACATGGGGACAAGGGAGGGGTTCTGTTTGCCTAGAGGCAGGAGAACAAAGAGCTCGTTTGTGTGCTAATGGGACAGAGCCAGTTGTGTGCCTGAGAACCGCCTACAGCACAGGGACTGCCCAAGAATTGCTCACCCAGAAGCTCAGAAAATCCCTTTTTAGAAATCTATGGCTGCCATTTACTGTGCACCTACTATGTGCCAGGCCTAGTTCTTGGGGGTCCTTTAATTCTCAAGTCCGCCCTGAAGCAGGAGCCCTCATTTTACGGCTGAGGAAAAGGAAACTCAGGGAACAGGGAAAGATCCACTCAAAGACACATGACCAGTAAAAGGTAGAGCAGAGACTGGACGTGGGCTCTTCTGACTCCAGAGCCTGGCAGGGGTGCCGCAGGGGGACCAGTCCTGGAGGGAGATCAGATCCCCCAGCCCACGGGACTTATGAGACAGAGCCTGGCACTTGGGAGACCCTCCATCGGTTTCCTCCCTGCTCTCCTGCCTTCCAGGTGATACAGAGAAAGAACTGGATGGGAGTGGTCCCTGGCCAGTCCATCCTCCACTGGGCTGTGGGGATCTCACCACCACCCACCATCACCATCCCCCCATGCCTCTGCAGAGGGCCTAGCAGGCTCAGAAGTCCCTCCCAGTCTCCTGTTTGCCTCCCTGAGAACCAGTCTGAGCAGAGGTGAGACACACCTTCTCTTAGTCTTGCAGCCTGAAAGCTCTACTTTTATCTTCCAAAGTAAGGGCAGGCAGGTGGGGACCAGGTAATCTCAGTCCCAGGAGGCCCTCAGGGTAGGGGTGGAGGAAGCAATGCTGTACTTGCCCCTTCCCTTGCCCCAAAGTCATTCAGTCCTTGGGCCCCCTCCTCTCCCCAGGCCCATGTGTCCCACGTACCCCACTGCTCTCAAAGCCTGTAGGCAGGCCGTCCAATCTCTACATAAATGCATCATGACACTAATCTCCTTGGCACAAAGCGGGTTCAAATGACAGGGACCATTATTACCCCCGTGTCCACATGTTTCGGATGAGGAAACTGAGGCTGGGAAAAGGTAGCCGCTAGCCACTAGCCCAGAATGAGCCGGAGACTTCTGACTCCAGACCACCATCCCTCCCACAGCTCTGGGGGCAGTATCCCCAGAGAAGGAGAGGAGCTGGGTCTCTCCATACCCTCCCTAAGGGATCAAATGGAAATTGAGACTCACCTGGTTTGGCTCAGCCCTGGAGTGTGCTGGAAATCTGAGGCTGCTTTAGGAAGACTTGAAGGCCACTCCCCTTCCAGATCTCTGAACGGATTCCAGGCCTAGGAGCAGGGCCACACCTGGCTGGGCCGCACCCCCAGGGCGGATCACAGCCTGTTCCAGAGGTGGAGTTCAGCATTGCCACCAGCAGTGAGCATCCCAATCCAAATGATGGGCCTCTGTGTGGCACCGCAGAGGTGCTGCCAGCCAGCCTGCTGACTCCCTGGACTTTTGAACAACCAGACAAGGTAAAGCACATACAACCACTTTCTAGACTGTAAAGTGGGTGTACATATGAGGAGATAAACTCCTTGAAAACAGGAGCCAGGCCCATGTCTCTCTAGAGTTCCAGGGCCTCACTATTTTTTTTTCCAGCTCTATTGAGATACGGTTGACAAATAAAAGTTGTACACATTCAGGTTGCAAAACACAATGTTTTGATATACGTATATATCGTGAAATGATTACCACAATCAAGCTAATCAACACATCCATCACCTCATTTTTTTTTTTTTTTTTTTTTTTTTGGCGGTACGCGGGCCTCTCA